ACGAAAAAAAAATCATTAGACGCTTAAACGTAATTCACATTTAAAATCGGTCCAAGTTATTGGAACACCCTTTATAATTAAGACAAACTTTCATACGTAAAAAAATATTGGGAGAAAGATTATATTTTATATTTTTTCTTTTTTTCGTTTAGTTTATGGGGGAGGTCTTGTAACAAAACCTAGAACTTATATTTTATTGTTTCTTTTATGGGGTTGTCTTTGACCTGGAAAATTCGCGAACCAGTCGAGTGTTGCATTTGGATAAAGAAATAAGGACCTCACTTTAGATAGCTTCGCTAATCAATCACGTCACGGGAATAATTTTATTATTGTCTGTAAATAAATTGAATAAAGAAAGGTTATCGTGAAACAGAAATCGATATTCACTAAAGAGTTGGAGAAGTGATCGGATTTTTCCCAGCCAAAACAAAGATTAAGAAAAAAAAATCACCCAAGATAAACTGGTGGCTTAAAAATTTTTATGATTTAACATCGAAACTGTTACAAGTACAGTGGCCTAAGAAAAGTTTTTAGCCAGGATAAATAAACGACATCTAATTTCAAAATTTAATTACGTAATCCCAACTCAACATACAGGGTGGGGAAGCGAAAAACAAAATATTTTGAGACAAGAATTAAAAGACATTAAATGGCCAATTAGTTTATTGAAACTTGAAGGAATTTATTTTCCACAAAAAATTTACATACTAGAAACTATTTTTATTCAATATGTCCTCCTTTTTTCTTAATAACTATTTCCACACGCCTCCTGAACCTTACGCATTTAACTTTTGGAGTAACAAGTGCATTTAGCAAATTACAGATTCTTTCACATTTGCTTTCTTGATTACTTGATATGGGTAAAGGTTTCTGAAAAGATATAAATAATAATATTAAATATGGGTGTGGCATCAATATATGGTAGATTTAAAAAAAAAATAAGCGTACTATTTGCTGAGAAAATTCAACTAAACTTACTTTGTAAATTTTGCTTCACCATCCTGTAAATAAACAATATTTGTTACTAGTATAGAGTAAGTCCTCCATTTGCTAGTTTCAGTGCTTGTATTCGATTTTTCATGGATTTGATCAACTTATCAACAATCGTCTGATCCATATTTTGCCACTCATTTAGCAATGTTGCTTTAAGGGTTGCTACTGACGTGATTTTGGTTGCACGCTCTCGAAGTTTTCGTTGAAGGTACTCCCAAACGTGCTCTATTGGATTCATATCAGGACTTTGGGCTACAAATGGCAGTGACTTGATTCCTTGTGATTACTTCCAGGCATTTGGTACTTTGCTAGTATGACATGGCGCTCCATCTTCTTGAAAAAGATAAACATTCTTGTCAATCTGATTGGTTTCAAATAGTGGTAGTAGACCTTTCTCTAATAGTTGACAGTATTTTGGACGATTCATCCGCTCGTCAACAAGAATCAGCTCAGATTTCCCTCCAAACCAAACTGTGCCCCACACCATTACTCCAATTCCTCCATGTTTAACAGTCGCCTGCAGACATTCAGCGTTCCAAGTCTCATTCTGATTTCTCCAAACATAAACCAATTTCGAATTCAAATATTGGCAGAATTTACTTTCATCTGACCAAATTACAGACTGCCAAAAAGACTTTGCTCTCGAATCCTGTTACCCAGTCCATACGCCTGTTCCTGTTAATCTCTGAAATCAAGGGCTTCTTTCTTGCAACTCTTCTTTAATAGCCTAGCTCTTTCAGAGTCATTCTTATCGCGTATGGCGACATTTCCATGAACACTTTTGACGCTCTGACAACGGTTTCTGATGACTTCCCTCTTCAGCGCCATTTTCGTTCACTCAGACTCGATATTTGGTCTTCCTGAACGTTGTTCCACATGACAATGGCTTTCTTCATTAAATTTCTTGACAATATTATTATTAATTTCTCTATTTGACTTGGAATACTGATGCCATCCTATTATTTTCCCTTGTTACTTCCGCCAACTTTCATTGCAAAATATGTCAACTATCGTTCATAGATTAGAGCAGCTTGATACTAACACGTCATTGGCTGAAAAAGAAAGAATAGACGTTATTACACAAGCCAAAAATGCCAGGTGGCTAAAAACTTATCATAGCCTACTGTAAGGGCGGTGGTCAAATTGTATTTGGATAAGTGTCCACTGCATAGTGGTAGGAAGAATTCGCAAACCATAGGTGTAGTAGTTATCTGCTCGCCTACAATGTATTAAGGGATTACCCAACAATATCTGCCAGGGGAAATCCACGTTGTATAAAACAGTATGAAGCCAGTAAAAAATAAAAGGCACAAAACCCTCTTTCAATTATTTCTCGCTTGACCCACTCTATAGTATAGCTGGCCACTCGTATTCGAGGATACCCGTCCACTAGGGCGGACAGCCAATCCCTATTGCAGACGCTTGCTCAGGCGCGTTTGTGTTTGTTCAACAACCACAGAGCCTACTTGTAGTTTATATTGCAACTATGCTGGTACCAACTTTCATACTCTGGCTTCCATCTTCCAATCCCTTCAAGAACCATCAACAAAACGGTGAATAAGTTTTAAAAAAAGGGAACAGTAAAGAAGAAAACTGAATGAAGAAGCCACAACAGGAAGAGGGATCACCATTTCTGCTTAGAGCTAAAGATAATTCTAATTTTTAAACCGAGTGGGTGAAGAGCTAATTTTATTTTAATCATTGATTTTCCATAAGAAATATTCCTACGGTTGGCGAATAACCTGTTATATAGCTTAGCGATTTCCTTCTACATACCGCTCTCTCGATATTCTCTCTTCCTCCCCTTTCATATTCCTAGTTCAGATTTTTACATTAATCCCTTTCAATTCCACTAATGTCAGATAGTGCTATACACTAATCTATCACTGGACTGGGATGACAAACATTTAATCAGGCAACCGATATTTTCAATCCTAGGTCACCTCCAAGTGCCACTCTGAATTAGCCCCTCTCACGCGAACTAAACGCGAAACATTTACCTATTTTTCGCCGAATTTTGCTGAAGAACGTTGCCTAATTTCCGTTCTGAGTTTCAGTTTAAGCTGGGGCTTAAAGAGCACAATGAATTGAGGAGAGGAAAACTTCCCGTCACAATAAAATTCCTCCAGTCGAGTCGTCCAAACCACGAATCTCATAATGCCCAACAAGCACAAAAAACACTTCTGCTGTGGCACAAAATTGCTTACAAAGGAACTAGCCTCGAGAAGAAAAATTTCCCGCCCAGGATGCGGACTACGTAGCCGTCAATCAGTTCGCGTAACGGTCGTACGGCGAAGCAGGGAAAGAAAATATGCCCCAAGGTCTCCACCGGCCCACTGCAGCGCACGTAACTGCCAGTCCCGCTGCGCAGAGCTTTTTGCCAAACCAGAGGTCCTTCCGTAACACCAGCCAGGTTAGTGATGTCTTATCGTTATTGGGACACCTCAACCCTGACCACCCGGTCAGCTGGGACTTCTGAATACGCAGACTGCACATCTGCAGAGAAGTGAGACCCCCTACAAGACACACACCAGATCAGGCCTCCTGGGCTAGACGATAAACTACATCCGACAGCAAGACCTCTCTCTGATCAGGAGGTTTTGAGGAGTGTGGAACCACTTCTTAATTCATGGTCTTCCCAGGTCCACTCTGACTCGGGATGGTTGCACCTGTTAGGGTCCCAGCTATGGGCAATTAGTTAACCTCAAACTAGGGTCAAAACTCTATAAAAAAAAATAAAAATAGATTTTGATACCAGCAATAAAAATCTTGTCGGCATTAAATAGCTAAGTATTGATATGCTGTAAAACAAACCAAACCAAATCAATCAAACCGGGCGTCCAAGGCTGCAAATAGCGAAATTCTTTATTCGTCAAACCGAGCTTATCCCTTGGATTATCTCAAGCGCCTTCCTTAATCCGTATAAAGCCATGTACGTTGTGTTTTTGCATGATATTTTATATATACTGGTGACTGATGCATCGTGCGTAGCCTTTTGTATTGCATTATGGGTAATCTATTGTATTATTTAAACAGTTAATTTGGTGGAAGTTTATCGAGAATAAATGTCGGTACCATTGCTGAAGGCCTGAATGATGTTTTTCCTTTCACTATTGTTCAGTTGGGGCTAACACAAAACGATTTTAACCTGCTCTCTTTGAAGCTGAATAGCACAAAGAGGTTTTCAGTGATTCCTACGACAAATGGTGACAAGATGGCTAAACGTCTTATCTGAAAACCTAGAAAAAATAATTACACTAATGAATGTCAGTTATCTTCTGTTAATTCCCGTCTCCAAGTTCTCCATTCCCTTAATCGGGTATTGAATTCACACTCTTTGGTTCCTGTCACTAGGTTCGACCCAGTACTTTCTGAGCGACTGTTCGGTTGTACTCTCTTCCTACGGACGGAGAGGAACCCGAAGGAGGCTCCGCCGAAGGGCGGAGTCTCCTTCGGGGAGGTAAAACCGGCCCTGAACCCGTTTATACGTGTTCAAATGGGCATATTTTTGGCCGAGCCCATGGGCTCGGAATGCCCACGTTAAAAAGGCCTTGTGCCACATGACACCCTCGTGGTGGGGGTGACTGAATATCGTCACTAGGTTCTAACTAACGCCTTTATCCACTGCACCATGTGTCCTTGAGGACATCTCTGTATAGAACTTGGATAGGGGAATTAACAGGAGATAACTTATAACTGACATCCATTAGACATGGCACGTGGAACAAAATAGTCTACCCCAGTGAGCGAAATAAAGGGTTCAGCTCAACTTTCCAACCACCTGAAGAAGGCCGGAGCGTACAACGGGCGAAACGTTGTAATAAATATGACGACAAAGACGAGGACAATAGTCCGAATAATGTAAATAGTTATTGACCAGGTTCGTAGCTGCTTACCTTCGGTGGTCATACGAGAACCTGTATTTCCACGTGATATACCTTAGATAGATAGATAGATAGATAGATAGATAGATAGATAGATAGATAGATAGATAGATCGTAAAAAACTCAAAATGATAGATAGATAGATAGATAGATAGATAGATAGATAGATAGATAGATCGTAGCAAAATCAAAATGATAGATAGATAGATAGATCGTAACAAACTCAAAATGATAGATAGATAGATAGATAGATAGATAGATAGATAGATAGATAGATAGATAGATCGTAGCAAAATCAAAATGATAGATAGATAGATAGATAGATCGTAGCAAAATCAAAATGATAGATAGATAGATAGATCGTAACAAACTCAAAATGATAGATAGATAGATAGATAGATAGATAGATAGATAGATCGTAGCAAAATCAAAATGATAGATAGATAGATCGTAACAAACTCAAAATGATAGAGAGATAGATCGTAACAAACTCAAAATGATAGATAGATAGATAGATAGATAGATCGTAGCAAAATCAAAATGATAGATAGATCGTAACAAACTCAAAAAGATAGATAGATAGATAGATAGATAGATAGATAGATGTGTATACTTCTTTGCGTATATGTGTGTATGTTGCGTGTGTGCGGGCGCATGTGTGTGTGTGTGTGTGCGTGTGTACATTAAAACTTGATTAGCTCTGTTAGCAAATGACTCCGAGCACTTAGGAATGAAACCCGGGTAACACATCTAGGTTGGGTACGCAGGCATTCATTTCTGCCCGACTTGACAAATGTCGTCTGCTTTACATCCTGTCTGTTTGCCACAAATGGAAGAGCCTCTCCACGAGCAGAAGCGGAAGCCGCACCAGCTTGTTAGAAAAGCACTCAAGAATGGCGAGAAACAGGCACAGAATCAATAACCTCTTTTCATCTCGTATCAATAACATCGTTCGAACGCACGGCCTCCACTCCTACTCGCTTCTTCTTCCAACAATCTTCCCATCAGAACGATGTCTACTTCTCATCAAGCCCCTGAAATGGCTGTCGAATGCTTGAAACCTTTCAATCGAATCGATATTCATAAAAGACCACCCAAACGGACATCATGTCATATATATATATATATATATATATATATATATATATATATATAGATAGATAGATAGATAGATAGATATAGCTATGAAAGTATATATATATATATATATATATATATATATATATATGTTTCATTGAAGCTGACTGACAAGGCACTGTGATTAAGCTTTTTATCAAATATTTCTTACATTCGTACAAGTGATTTATTTCCTGGACATGCAGTATGTGTAAATTGGCCAAATCATCTATGAATCCGAACTCTTTCGATTAATCAATTCTTATCGCCATTATCAAGAATGTGAAAAAAGATATAATGCCGAATATCATGGTGTCCATAAAGTTCGTGTGCACTTTAAAAAATTTTTAACTTTATTTCTACTTGCGATAGAAATAATCTATAAAAAATGTTATAAAGTTTAATGTACCTAGTTTTAAGTATATCTAAAATAACTAACGTGATTTCAGGCATTACTGTAAATCAGTTGGCAAATGTATTCCGTGAATCGCAAAATCGTATTACCCTTTGTATTGCTAATGATGGAGGACATGTGGAAACTTAAATAAAATTTCAATAAAACCTTAAAAAATATAGATTTACTTCTTTCTAATCTTATTTTACAAATTATTTCTATCGCAAATACAAATAAAGTTATAAATTTTGTAAAGTGCACACGAACTTTATGGACACCCTGTATTAACTGGAAGATCTGGAATCCTCAGACAGAAAAACATCCTCTTCATAATGACGAATAGATTAGCCGAAAACGCTCGGATTCACAGTCCACGTTTTGGAGAGATTATTTACACACACACACACACACATACACACACACACACACATATATATATATATATATATATATATATATATATATATATACACAGTTAATAATTTGAATAAATTCTATTGAAAATATATCTCACCACACGGATCATATCAACGGGGGGGGGGCTTGGCAAAATGACTTTTTTTGTCTACATTTGCCAGTTAATTTAAATACTAACAATATACTGCTCTCAAAAATTAGTTCCTTCTTAGAAAGAAATAAGTAAATTTAGTATGTACTAGAACAGTACAGCATTATTAATATATAAATTGACAGTTCAGTCTACGATGCGTGTACAAGTATACATAAAAAAAAGCTCTAATGTTTGTATGTGCCAAGGACCTGTGTGGGTGTATGTCTGTACAAGAATATACATAAAAAATAAAAATACACGAAGTTCTGTGGACTGATTTAAAATCCAAGAGACTCCAAGCAGCTCTAATATATTAGAAGTAATGCATAGCGGCTTGTATTGAGGAATCGGAGAGCCGAGTTCGAATTCCAGTCGAATCCATTACATTCACTTACGTTTTAATCCCCTTGGGAAAGGTATGAATCCTCTTCTTCTCCCTCCAGCTATGGGTAAATAGCAAGACAGTCTGGGTTCTATAGCCTTGGATGGCAACTGGTCTAGGAGAAGGAAAACTCTGAATTCAAAACCTGCGGAGAGTCGTTTGTGGACCTTGTGGCACGTAGTGTACCAAGTCTCTGTATTCGACCCTTCAAAAAGTGTGGATGGTCTTGCACGAAAACTTCACCACTATAATCAAATTATATGTGCTGTTGTCGGGCTGTCGGTTTCCTGGGAACTGATCTGCTTGACCCTCATACGTCGAATTCGACGGGAGAGTCGACTATATATATATATATATATATATATATATATAACCAAATAAGAGAATTTACCGTGAATCAAGAAAAGAAAACACTTATAAGAACACATGAAAACTTAAATAAAAAGCTTAATCGTAGTACTTTGTCTGTCGTCTTTAATGAAACATGTATAAATGAAGGATTGCTGCCTAAATAGACAATTATATATATATATATATATATATATATATATATATATATATATATAAGAATGAGAGAAAGAACAGATGTAGTAAAATTCCACTGTTCGAAGCGTTTACTTTAAAAAAAACAAGTGCTCAATACAAAGTAGAGCAATATATTATTATTTTTTATTATAAGGTGTTATGATAAAAACATTTTTAAATCCCTACACAAAAGTTTTCATGTTTCAAATACTATGATTGTACTTCTTCAGACAATGGTAAGTAACTGGTGATTAAATGATTTTTAAGGAAATTTAAAAACAAAGTGCTACTTCTTTTCCGAAGGTTAAAGGGCGGGGACATAAGATCTGAATTAAAAATAAACTTGTGGGTATGTCTTGATGAACCAATTAAATGTCAGATCTATGCTAAATAGAAGAGTAAGCTCAGAGCCTGGAAATGGGTGAGGTATTGTTTTATGCCATGATAAACCGGAACATAGACAGGCCATCATTGATGATTGAGGAAAATATACCCACGACAAATGTACCTAGATTGTAGACAAATACATGTTCAATTTGGTGAAAGGGCGTTACAGGGAAGGGTAGGTTAATCAGACGCAAATTTAACAGAAAAATTCTAAAAAAAAATGTTTTATTTAGATTCAGGAAGCTTCTTAATGAAGCCTGTAGATAAAATTAAAAATGTGGAACATTTATATAAGATATTAATTATACTAACTGGACGGAAATACATACCAATATTTAAGCTGAATAAACAAAATATGGTAATTATCCTTTCACTTTCGTTTTTAAATTTCCATAAAAAAACCATTTAATCATCAACCCGTTACTTACCATCGCCTGAAGAAGTACAGTCATGGTATTGAAACATGAAAGCTTTTGCGTAGCGATTTCAAAATGTTTTATAGTACTATCTTATAAAAATATATATATATATATATATATATATATATATATATATATATATATATATATATATATATGCCCAAGGATATAATTGGTGTATACGGAATGAATTCCAATAACCAACAATTACTATTCTTAAAAGAGTGCTCACTAGCTTTTGTAACAACGTTTTCCCCTTGCGAAGGATTGTTGATTAATTTGAAACTTTTAAAACCATTTATTTTACATTCATCATCACTTGATAAGACACCGAGTGTGTTGAAACAAAATGGCTATTTTTGTAGTGATTTTATAACATGTTTATGTTATAAATTTTTTTAAATAAATAATTATATATATATATATATATATATATATATATGTTTTGTTACAGACGACATACAAGAAACTGCGACTAAGTCTTTTATTTAATTTTTCTTGTATCCAAACAAGTACTTTCTTTTCTGGACACAGAATGTGTAGAAATTGTCCAAATATTCTGTAATTCCGAGCGTACTTGAACTCATAGATAATGTTTGTTTCGTTGTAATTTTGACTTAGCTGATGTGTTGTTATTTTTAGGATAAGGTTAGTTGTTTATAGTTGCTAATTAATCTGATTTTTGTTCGGCTAAATTGACCCGAACTAGATAGTTTCTACACACTCTGTGTCAAGAAAATAAAACACTTGTTCGAACACAAGAAAAACTAAATAAAAAGCTTAAGCGCAGTCCCATATCAGTCATCTTTAATGAAACATGTATAAATGAAGGATTGCTGCATATATATATATATATATATATATATATATGTATATATAAAACAAACAGGCACACAGACACTCTCTTGCGTCTGGAAATTGGATCTGATAATATAACTTAATTTAATGTATGCTTCCCACTTAGTCTCAGGTGTCCTAACGCATTTTCCTCGTATATAGTTTTATCTTTCTTTCATTCCAAGCTGAGAAAGCCAGAGAGAGAGAGAGAGAGAGAGAGAGGAGAGAGCAGAGGCTCTTGGCAGTGAAACGCGTCGTTTATAGATTTTTCACTTTGTCTCATAATCTTTACTATTACTTCAAACGTTACTTTTCAGTGGAGACCCGTGTTTGAAATAGACGCCAGTTTTATTTTATTTATTTGACACAGTGCGTTCTACATCGAACGGTCTTCACTCTCGAAATATCATAATAGAGAGAATGCTTTCCAGTGGGTTTCGAATGTGTGTCCCCCTTTATAGGCGAAACCAGCTTTTGATCCGTAGACCAATCGGTCACAGTGAGCTTCACAGATAAGCAAGGGTCTATTTTCCCTTTTAAGGAAGGCAAATTTTCTCGTTCAGTTTTATTATCAAAAAGCCAGATCGTTTTCCGTAAAAAAAAAAAAACCTACAATAGAATCCATGACAACCGGACTAAGAAGGCCTTCCAGATATGAAGAATTAGTTACAAAGTCCGGATATGATGGATTCCGGATATGAGCGATTCCGGATATGAGGAAATGGTTACAAAGTCCGGATATCAGGGGTTATATTTAGATTAAAATAAAGGAACTGAAATCAGGTTTAACATTTATTTTCAATTTTTTATAGTAAACAAAATAAACTAATGGCGAGTGAAATATAACGGAATTGATTTTAAGAAAAAAGAAATAAATTATGTAATGTAAATAAAAATTCATTAAATTAAATTTTTCACATATGCAAAACAAATAATGTAACGAGGATTTTTTAATCGCTGTTGCATGATGATTCTTTCTCTTCTAATGTCATTCTCAACTTTTTCCGCATTTTATTTTGCTTCTGTTCTTGAAATTTTTAAAACGAAAGACACTTTTTTTTAACTCTGCGTGCGTTAATGTAATCGTCATAGCTGAATGCTGGCTTCCTTTCCATAAAACTGACAACCTTTTCAATAGCTTTTTCAGGTTTCATCACAATCATGCATCTCGTCGCTATCTTATTGCAGATGATGTCTCCTTGTCATCTTTTCCTCTTATTCCCATCATCTTTTTGCACCAATCCAAGCCATTAGGGGGGAAATAAGCAGAAGCAATTATCCAAAGGAAATTTCCTAAGAAAAAAACATACATATCACCCAAATAGTTCAAATATAAACATCAAAATCATGTCCGGATATTAGGGATTCCGGATAGGAATGGTTCCGGACATGAGGGATTCCGGATATGAATGATTCCGGACATGAGTGATTCCGGATAGGAATGATTCCGGATATGAGGTATTCCGGATATGAATGATTCCGGACATGAGGGATTCCGGATAGGAATGATTCCTTATATGAGGGATTCCAGATATGAATGATTCCGGATATGAGGGATTCCGGATAGGAATGATTCCGGACATGAGGGGATTCGGATAGGAATGATTCCGACATGAAGGAATATGAATGATTCCGGACATGAGGGATTCCGGATAGGAATGATTCCGGACATGCCGGATAGGAATGATTCCGAACATGGGGATTCCGGATAGGAATGATTCCGGACATGAGGATTCGATATGAATGATTCCGAGATGAGGGATTCCGGATAGGAATGATTCCGGACATGAGGGATTCGGGATAGGAATGATTCCGGATATGAGGTATTCATGAGGGATTCGGATATGAATGATTCCGGACATGAGGGATTCGGGATAGGAATGATTCCGGACATGAAGGATTCCGGATAGGAATGATTCCTGATATGAGGGATTCCGGATATGAATGATTCCGGACATGAGGGATTCCGGATAGGAATGATTCCGGACATGAGGGATTCTGGATTGGAATGATTCCGGACATGAGGGATTCCGGATAGGAATGATTCCGGAGATGAGGGATTCCGGATAGGAATGATTCCGGACATGAGGGATTCCGGATATGAATGATTCCGGAGATGAGGGATTCCGGATAGGAATGATTCCGGACATGAGGGATTCCGGATAGGAATGATTCCGGACATGAAGGATTCCGGATAGGAATGATTCCTGATATGAGGGATTCCGGATATGAATGATTCCGGATAGGAATGATTCCGGACATGAGGGATTCCGGATAGGAATGATTCCGGACATGAAGGATTCTGAATTTTTCCGGATATTTCTGATATCATTGTTGGAGGGTTTGATAAAAATGGACCTCTTTTGACTATTTGTTATTCCGATTTGATAAATGATTCCGGACATTTCCATTTTAATGATTGTATG